GTCACCGTTGCATCTGTTCTTCATCTGAGCACAGTCTAGATGACCTCTAGTAGACCCTGCCGAATCTTCTCGTGTTTGTAAACGTTCAGGTCTGCCGTAATCTGCCTGATGATGTCTCCAAAGTTTTCTTCCCTTACGATAGAGGCTTCTGTTTTTCTACCTTATTCCCAGGTAGTTTGAGAATTTCTTCTGAATTTCTCTTGGGGTGCGTTTCAGCCTCCTTTCTTGTTTAGGTGCTGGAGAATGCTACTCCTGGTAGTAGCGTTGGGCTACATATCTTTCCATCACTTGAATTCTCTGGGGATGCTCTTAATCTGAAACAGCCCCAGGGGAGGAATGAACTCTAACCCTCCTCGGGACGTAGTAGGAAAGCGAGGCGTCAGAGAGGTTACAGACTCCTGGAGAGATGGCTGGCCAGTGGAAGTCCATCCTCCACAGCTCTGTTATGGGGCCTGCAAGAACCCACAAGCATTTCATCTCAATGCTGTCTTCCCGGGAAAGGCATTTAAAAAAGCTATTTTAAAAAACTGAAAAAGAAAGAATGGGAACTGTTTTTCTGCACAGCCCTGAAGAACTTGTCTCGTCCTGGAGCTTTCAAATGAATACAACTTAGAATCATAGAATTGTAGGGTTGGAAGGGACCTTGGAGGTCTTCTGGTCCAAGCCCCTGCCCAAGGCAGGAGTCCTCATACCATCCTGGACAAGGTTGTCCAATCTTTTTTTTTTTTTGGAAACCTCCAACGATGGAGCCCCCACGACTCCAGGAGGCCAGCCGTTCCATGGCTGAATAGTTCTCACTGTCAGGAAATTCCTCCTTGTTTCCAGGTTGGATCTCCCTCTGACGAGCTTCCACCCATTGCTTCTTGCCCTACCCTCAGGTGCTATGGAGAATCCATCAACACCCTCTTCCCTGGGGCAGCCCTTCAAGTATGGGAAGACAGTTATCAGGTCTCCCCTCCGTCTACTCTTCATTAAGCTAAACATACCTAGTTCCTTTAGCTGTTCTTCATAGGATTTGGCCTCCAGACCCCTCATCATCCTTGTTCCTCTTCTCACTTCACGCACATTAAGTTGGTACACCATCATCAAATTGAGACCTCATCTACCCTAACTTTCCTAAGGTTTGATTGAAGGAATATTTGGGGACAGGGGAGGGAATATTCTCACTGTTTCTTTCCCCGAAGAGAACATCTAGCAGCTTTCGTCCTCTCGCCTTTGAACTACTGAGAAAAGCCGGTTTCTCATTTATCCCAAACAATGCACGGGTATTTTCCCTGCGAGAATGCGTGTGGGTGGAACCAGCCACCCTTGTAATGTGCGTCAACTTGCGTTGCCAGGAGCAACAGAGCTCCAGAAGGCTTGGTATGCATTGGAGGAAACCAACATTCCTCCAAGATTCTCTCGAGAGGTGAATTGAGAACCACGCAATAAGAGCTAAGTCCATTCTGGACTCTCCAGCCATCCATGGGAATTGGGGAAGGAAGTGACATCACCTGTGTCGTCGTCTAGCATGTAAATGATGTCATGATATGTGTGATGTCATCATGGCTCCCAACAGATCCCTCAGCATCCATCTCCCTCACTTAATGACCCACACCTCTGAGTCTATGTGGTCTCCACTCCCGAGCTATGCCTCTCACAACCCCGGCTAGCTGAAGGTGACTGTGACAACCTTAACACTGCTCTGTGTTTCCCTGGGCAAACCCCTGTGGAGTTTCTCCCTGCCGAAGTGATAAAACCAGGATACACCATATTTCTTCGACCCAGCGCCCGGTTGGGTTGAGAGAAGAGCAAAACTGGACTTCATTTGCACTGAAACGTGGTTAAAAATCAAGTTAAGGCAGGGAGTCTCTACATAATTAATCACTTTCCTGTTGGGACACACTTGAATTCTTTGGGATGGCTGAAAGATGCTCGAGATGTTTCTAAGGAGAGGACGGAACCTGCTTTCCACCTCCCGGGTATCTCCATCACTGTCCTCTTAAAAGAAGCAGAGCAGAAAACCCCCTTCCCTGGATTTGCCCCCCATGCTTAAACCTGGTTTTGTTTTTTATGGCTTCGTGTTTGCTTGGGATTCAGTACAGTGAAAATGGGTGGGTGCAAACAATGAGGGCGTTGGGCAAAGCTTAGATGAAGCATCTGTTAATGCCAGCCTTTCGAACCTGGCACCTCCATCTGGGCCTCCAGCTTCAGGATTCCCAACCGGGTTGGCCATAGGCCTTCCTGTCTGGGGAAGATGGGTGTTGTAATCCCAGCATGCCCAGTGGGGGCTAGGCTGGGGACAGTTGGTCTAATTCTTCAGAAAATGAGCCTGTTAGAGAAATTCACCTGGATTTCTGAATGTATGGATTAAAAAGGGCTGTATTTGGGGAGGAAGGAACCACATTATGCAATTTTGAAGGGGGGAAAGGTATTATGTCTGTAACTGTGTAAAGAAGATCGGAAGTAGCTTCTTTTGGTATTTCTTTTCCTTTCTGTTTTTCTTTCTATTGCTTTCAACACTTTTTTTCCCCTTGATCTCCTCCTCTTTCCCCCGGCTGCTTTCGCCAACTCTAACCCACCTCCGGCAATTTAATTTACTAATGGTGCGCTGAAAGGATGTCCTCAACACTGGCATGGCGAAGAAAATTTGACATAAGTGGGGAAATCCACTTCCTCCCCCGGACCAGCTGAGCCAGAGGTACTGGTGTGAGGAAACGATGTCGAGTTCCCTGCTGAAATTTCATTATGCCAATGCCTCACTGATTTACTGAGTTTATGGATAAAATCCCTTTAAATCCCCAGCAAGCCCCTTGCACAAAAACGAAGGATCAGTGTGACTCCCAATTTGCTCACGGCCGGAATATTTTCTTGAAGCTCGTGCCAAAATCGGTTTTTGACTGCAACCTTGTTTTTTCCCCTTCTTCTTTTTTTAAGCTAGTAAAAATACTCCCAACTGGGGCCTCTTATAACACAGACCATTTGGGACTTGCTGGGTGGTGGAAGAATAGGGAGGAAGCGTTTCGCTCTCCAACTTGGTGTAGATTTTACAGCAGGAATGACAACGCTGCGTTTTCTCTGAAAGGCTGCAAAATGCTGGAGGAGTGATCAGTGAAAGGACGGGGAAGAACCGGGTGGATTACACAGCAGAAGCTACGAGAGATGGAGGAAATTCCTTTTGGGATTAAAGTTATCTAAATTGTAGAAGAACCAAAATTCCACCACCCTTAGAAATGGGAGTTTCGTCTTTGCCACTGGCCAACGACACAAAGGCGTTATCTTTGGGGAAACTGTTTGCAAGAGCAGCGCACGTTTAACAGCGGCGGCCCCAGGAATGCGCATGGATGGCAACACGCGCCCAACAATACATAGCAATTTGAATCTCAAAGTAACACAGAAACTAGACCAACTGAAAAAAACTGGAATGGACAGGTTGGTGACAACAAGATGCCGAGAGAAACTGAAATTGACAGATTCACCAAACAACAGGCGAGAGGAAGAAAAGCCAAATTGACAGACCAACAAAATTAAAAACTGAACCCAACAGATGTGCCACCCCTGGACGAAGGCCCCAACTTGGAGAGCGTGATACAGATTTTGTCACAGAAGTGTCTCTTCCGAATCTTAAAATAAAACAAGAAGTCACATTGCATCAGTGGCTGAAAAGAAGCTGTATTTCTGATGCGATGGGCAACATCTGAGAAGATCATGTCCTCAGTCCCACCTACCAACCCTCTGGAGGGCTGCAGGAGATGATCCAGTGATACCACTGGAAGACGTGTGGCCCAACCTTTTCAGCACTTCTTGAGGTGGACCTTAAGGGTAGAGGTGGAAGCAGAAGGTCTCTCAGAAGCTCTTGGCTCCCATTTACCCTCTTCAAAACATCCTCAAAGACAGTGAGATCTCAGCCTGCTGAGGCACCACGGGTCACATCACAGATGGAATGGGGACCACCACCCATGTCATTGATACCACTGGAAGACGTGTGGCCCAACCTTTTCAGCACTTCTTGAGGTGGACCTTAAGGGTAGAGGTGGAAGCAGAAGGTCTCTCAGAAGCTCTTGGCTCCCATTTACCCTCTTCAAAACATCCTCAAAGACAGTGAGATCTCAGCCTGCTGAGGCACCACGGGTCACATCACAGATGGAATGGGGACCACCACCCATGTCATTCCTG